GGTGGTGCTAAATATGTCAGCAGATCTTCTGTCACCTTAATGTAGACAGTCAATCAACAGCAAGTATTTATGCAGACCGACTGCTAATGGGCAGGTAAACCCAACAGCTCCCAGAATGACAGTGCCTCTCAGACCACCAACCCTGCTACCAGCCATCATCAAGGGGAGCCACCCTTGTGTACATTCCACCTGTCACTGCCTTATTCTTCCTTTCTCCTCCACCCTTCCCCAGTAACCAAAGAAGACCCAGACAGGAAACTTCTCATACCAAAGCCCTTGGCATTTAATATGGTATTTAACCATAGAAATAAATATGGTTTTATCAATGGAAATGACATTAAAGAAAATACATTACAATCTGATTTTCTCTGTACCTTATGAACCACTGGGCCTTTTTATCTGGCTTGTAATTGAAACTTTCTATATGTGTAATCTTTCACCACTAGCAAAATAAGCTCCTTGAAAGCAGGGACTTGCTTAAAAAAAAAAAAAAAGAAATATATATACACACACATATATGCATATATACATATATTTACATATATACATATATGCATGTGTGTATATACATTACAGCATTGCATAATATATAATAATCATATATATTGATATTTAAATACAAAGTAATTTAGGAGGGAAGCCACTAGGTTTTGGAGAGATCAGAAATGGCTTCCAGTAAAAGGTGTTACTTGAGCTGCATTTTAAAGGAAGAAAGAGATCTAAGTTTATAAATGTATTTAGTCTCATCCTCATAGTTAAGTGACTTGGGTAAGATAAAAAGTATTGCATTTTCATTACCTTTTCTAAGCTTGATGGTTCAAGGTTAACAACAGAATTCCTCAAGCTAGCAGGGGAAAACTCCAGTATAGACAACCCCACTGAGTAAACGTGTAGCATTTATTAAAACTTCAATATAAACTAATTGTTTATTCTGATGTTATAATAACCATGAATAAATGACTTTTGAAATTGCATAACCGATTGGCACAATTATTGAACCAGAGAAAAATCCCCCAGTGTGAAAGAGACACTTCTTTTTGCCTAAAATCTAGAAGTGTGCTGTTATATTAAGTTGCCTGATTTAAGGCTTAAGTTTACCTGTTTTCCAAATTAATGAAAATGTTTCATCAATGCTCTCTTACCCTGCATGCTCTGGAGATAAGAAGAAGCAGAATAATTGGTAGATGAAGCAATAGATAATTGACTATGGCAATTGTATAATCTATACCTTAATGAGAGTTGGTTCTAATATGGATAATGGATAATAATATGGGAAAAGATCCGTGTTATGAATAAGATCTGGAAAAATGACTAGGAAAAGAATGGATAATAGGAAGGAATGGGGACCAGAAAGGGAGACCAAAAGAGGATAATATCCAATTATATATGCTATCATAATCATGTTCCCTTTAATTATGATGAGGTTTTAGATGTATTTTGGTGGGTCCATCGACAGATTCCTAATTTTATCTTCATGATTGTTGTAGAAATTCCCTTAATAATGGTGTAGTAGAAAGAATTCTAACTTGAGCCTGGTGACCAAGATTCCAATCCTAGTTCCCACACTTATGGTGTGACCATGGGAAAACCCTGTATCCTATATAATTTTCAATTTCCCCATCTTTAAGATTTGGATTGCAGTTAGTTGTACTACTTGCCTCTCAGAATTGTTGAGAGGAAGGCATTTTGTATACTTTAAAGCACTATACAGATTTGGATTGTTGCTATTGTTAATGATAATGCAGTAACAACCTTTGAGAAATGGTTCTTTGTGATATTTTATAAAAGAGCCTGTTAATTTATGTATTATTAAACACAGTGCATGGAACATAATAGACAATTAACAGATGCTTGTTGAATTAAATATTGCATGCTTATGTTATAGTATTAGGACTGATTTGTGCACAAGTGACATGCCAGGAAATCAGGTTTTTGTTGTTGTTAATGGGTCTTTGAGTGAATAATTAAAAGGAAAAATTAAAATGAAGATTAGTCAATAGAGTAAGCTGAGATTCTTTTAAGAATTTTATTATTTTTGATTCTGAACTTAATGAACATCAATAAAATAAAGAATTACATATTTGAAATAGAACAGAAAATTATGCATGAAAATGTGAATTTCTATTATAAAGAGTTTGATTTTTGTTTTACACATGTAATAAATTCATCGTGTGACTTTCAAAACTGTCCAGTTTATGTTTCCTTCTGGCCATCCTTTTGTTCTCTTCTCTGCATTTTAAAAGAAATGTTTTAATAAGCTTTTCTTTTCTTTTTGACAACTCTATTACTAACTTTTAAACTCCTTTTCCCTTAAAAAAGAACAAAAAACAAAATTCTATAACAAATATGCATGTTTATAACTTGTCATCTTTTCACTTTCTAGTCTTCTCACATCTTATTACCCCTCATGTACTCTGCAATTTAGTCATAAGTGTCATTCTTGCTGTTTCTCAAACAAAATGCTCCATCTCTGCTAACTTTCACTGACTGTCCCCCATGTCTAGATCTCTCTCCCTCCTTATTTCCACCTACTGGCTTACTTCAGGTCTCAGCTAAAATCCCACCTTCTGCAAGAAACCTTTTCTGATCGCCATTAATGCTAACATTAGTCTTTGCTCTGTTGGTTAATTCTAATTTATTCTGTATATATCTTATTTGTATGTAGGTGTTGGCATGTTATCTCCTTCATTAGACTATGAATTCCTTGTGAGCAGGCACTATTTTCTGTCTTTTTCTGTATCCTCAGTACTTAGTACAGTTCCTGGCACATAGGAGGTACTTAAATGCTTCTGAACTGATTGACTAGACAAGCAAAACAAATGCGCACATTGGCCATGTCAAATGTCGGACACGAATCTTTCATTCTGCCCTTTGAGTCCATCACCTTCCCGTTAGGACATAGGTAACATGTCATCGTCAGTCCTCTATAATCATGGCTAGTCATTGCATTGATCAAGGTTCTTGAGTCTTTCAAAGTTGTTTTTCTTTACTATGTTGTTGTGGTAGAAATTGGTTCTGTTCTGCAGAACCAATTTTTTTCTTCTGCATCAATTCATAGAAGTCTTCCCAGATTTCTCCATCATTTCTTATCATATACCATAATTTGTTCAACCATTCCCCAATTGATGGGTATCCCTTCAATTCCAATTATTTATCACTCCAAAAAGAGTTACTATAAATATTTTATATCTTTGGGTCCTTTTTCTCTGATCTCTTTGGGCTATAGGCTTATTAGTTATATTGCTAGGTCAAAGGATATGAACAGGTTAGTGACTTTGGGAGCATAATTACAAATGGCTTTCCAAGACGGCTGGACCAGTCCACGGCTCTCCTAACAGAACATTAGTGTGTCTGTTTTTGCATAGCTCCTCCAACGGTGGTCATTTTTCCTTATTGTCATCTTTGCCAAGGCATTAGGTCAAACTTCAGAGTGGTTTCAATTTGTGTCTCTCTAATTATTAATAATTTGGAGTATTTTCATATGATTATAGATATCTTTAATTTCTTCCTTTTGAGAACTACTTGTTCATAGCTTTTGGTCATTTATCCTTTGGGTAGTGGGTAAGCTTTGTTGAACAACAGTATTGGGAGTATAAAAGTGGCGAAGAACATGAGGGATAGAAATTTTTTTTAAAAAGGTTATTTTTCCACTATTTTTCTCTGTAAGCATATAGGATATTATATTTCCAACTAAAATTATACCTTAAGGCTCTAAAATATTTGATCTTGTGTTTTGGACTTCTTGATGGGCCTAGGTTCTTCAAGGAATTATGCTCTTCATATTTATTCTTATCAATTTAAAGTTAGTACTGTGTATGAATATAATTTACATTTCCATAATAATAAAAGCTCCTGTTTCTATAGCATTGTAAAGTTTATAAAATGCTTTCTTAGCACATTGAGGCAGGTAGTGCAAGTATAATTATCCGCAATTTAATAGAAGGGCAAACCTGTCCATGGCAACCTATAGCTGCTTTCTTCATAAAAATAAATTGATATTATATAACTGGTTTTTTCTGTTTTTTTTTTATACCCAGCACCTAACACAGAGCAGGGTATATAGTAGGCACTTAATATTCAACCAAATGAAATTTGAAAAAAAGAAACATTTTAAAGAATTGTTTCTGACTCTGATGCTCTGGAGGAGTATAAGGCTACCCTAAAAATCAAGTAATAATTTTGTGTATTTGATCAGTTGTGTCTGATGGGCTTTCATGGCAAAGATACTGGAGTGGTTTGCCATTTCTTTCTCCAGTAGATTAGGCCAACAGAAGTTAAGTAACTTGCCCAGGGTCACACAGCTACTGAGGGTCAGGCAGTTAGATGGCGCAGTGGATAGAGTGCAGAGCCTGGAGTCAGGAAGACTCCTCTTCCTGAGTTCAAATCTGGCCTTATTAGCTGTGTGTCCCTGGGCAGGTTGCTTCACCCTGTTTGCCTCAGTTTCCTCATCTGTCAAATGAGCTAGAGAAGTAAATGGCAAACCACTCCAGTACTTCGCCAAGAAAACCTCAAATGGGGTTATAAAAAGTTGGACATGATTGAACTAGAACAACATGATGTAGATAAATAAGGCGTTCTTTCCATTTTGTAATGGGGAGACTGAGACCCAGTAATGTTAAGTGATTTGGCCAAGATCACCAAAACAGTGTTGGAGCTAGGGCTGAAACTGGAATCTTTTCCACTCATTTCTCTTTGAACACAGTCAGTTGTAAAATATGTCTCAGCACTCAAAACCTTAATGTTTTAATTCATCAAATGACCCAGTATCTCATTATATAATGGCTAGAATTATATATATATATATATATATATATATACACACACACACACATATATGTATGTATATTGCATAAGTCTATCTGTTAAGACAATACTTTCACTTATTGAATGTCAGTTGATTACCTGGGGAGTAAAACTTCTGTAATGACTAGATACTGAAACAATTTTTCCTGAATCCTAAAAGGTGTTTACTGTCTATCTGAATCCTCTTTCCTTTCTAGAATAAATATGGCAGAACTTTTGGAGCCAGAAGGAAGCGTAGATTGGAAGGAAAGATGTATAACCTTGGAATCCCAACTCATGAAATTTAGACTCCAGGCAAGCAAGATCAGAGAGCTTTTAGCAGAGAAGGTAAGTTTTTCCACCCTGCCTTAAAATATCTATTTAAATATAGAACTGAAGTAATTTGTCTTTTTCAAATCCAAATTCAACTGATAAAAAGACAAGTCTGACCATATTATTCCCCCTATTCATTAAACTCCAGTGACTGCTTATTGCTTTTACATGGAAGAATTATATTAAACCTGACATAATTACCTTATACTGATATGGAATAGTGATCAGAAGATATTATAGCCAACTTCTCCATCTTTACTACTTAATATAATATTAGAAAGTAACATTTCTATACATAGTGCTTTAAGGTTTGCAAAGAACCTTTCAGTCATTATCTGATTTGATTCTGGAAACAACTCTTTGGTGTTGTCATGATGACAATCATAACGAGTTTATAGACTTTTTCTTAATTGTCAGCACTTCAAGGCCTGTTGAGATGACTCAAGCCGTATTAGGCCTGTATAACAAAAATTTGGCACTTTTACACTCTACGATCTTGCCCCATCCTACCTTTCCAACCTTAGTACATGTTACTTTCCTTCATATGTTGCACAATGAAGCCATACTGGCTTTCTTGTCTTTACTCACACGCAGCTGTCTCTGGGCCTTTTCACAAGCTGAGACCCATTTAGAAAACGCACTCCTTCACCTATACCTCCTGCTGCCTGAATAATGTATGACTCAGCCCAGGAACCACCTTCTATAAGAAGCTTTTCCTGGCTCCTCTTAGATATTTGTAATCCTCTATCCAGACCTCCTGTCACCCCATTACCTTTTATCTCCTTGGTATGTGTTTTGTAGCTACATATGAACATGTTTTCCCTTGCTTCTTCTTTTAGAATATAAGCTTTATGATGGCAGGAACTATTTTGCCTTTTTTTGTGGGGGGAAGAGGAGTGTCTTAACTTACCTGGTACCTAGTACAGAACCTAGCACATGGTAGGTGCTTAGTAAATGCTTGATTGACAAACTAATATTCTAATTATTCTATTATTAGTAGTAGTAGTATTTTATACTAAAATTCTAATTATTCAGGTTAAGCTTTTTTAAATAATAAAAATAACTGATACCTGTCAGTTCTTTAAATATTTGGCATGTTATTTCTCAAGGTTTAGAGTATTAAGATGAAAAACATGTCTTTGTAATTACAAGTAGAATATATATGAATTGAAAGCAGATAATGAATGATTAGTGGATGGTAAAATAGATACTCTGATTTTAGCAAGATGAATGTTTTTGGTTTGACAGATTTTGGATTACTTAAATATTTTGGAAAATAAGGTCAAAGTGGTTTTAGAATAAAGTAACCTGACAGAGAGGCAGCTAGATGGCTCAATGGATAGAGTGCGGGGCCTGGAGTCAGGAAGACCTGAGTTCAAATTTGGCCTCAGATACTTGCTAGCTGTGTGACCCTAGGCAAGTCACTTAACCCTGTTTGCCTTAGTTTCCTCATCTGTAAAGTGAGCTGGAGAAGAAAATGGCAAACCACTCCAGTATCTTTGCCAAGAAAACCCCACATGGAGTTACAAAAGAGATGACTGAACAAATATACAAAATTATTAGTTGATGAGGCCGCTAGAGCACTGGGCCTGGAGTCAGGAAGACTCATCTTCCTGAGTTCAAATCTGGCCTCGGACACTTCCTGGCTGTGTGACCCTGGGCAAGTCACTTAACCCTGTTTGCCTCAGTTTCCTCATCAGTAAAATGAGTTAGAGAAGGAAATAGCAAACCACTCCAGTATCTTTGCCAAGAAAACCTCAAATGGGGTCACAAAGAGTCAGACACGGCTAAAAAACTCAACAAAAACTACAACCCCTGACAGAGAATGTTTTTCATCTGTTTTAGAATTGATGTAGAATCTTAGCATCTATCAGTGATATATGTGTGTAAGAGTTAACTCTATAGTAGTTATACTTATTACCAAAATGGCAGTGAGGTAGCACAGGGAGTAGAGTGCTGAGTCTGGAGTCAGGAAGTCCTGAATTCAAGCACTTACCAGCTACATGACCCTGGGCAATTCATTTAACTGCTCTCTGCCTCAGTTTCATCAGCTGTAAAATGGGGACAAAGTAGGTTTTCTATAAGTGCTTATTCCCTTCCATACTGTTATTTTCCTATTAACTAAAACCAGATTTAGTACAATGAGTTTCTACTGAAAGCCCTACCCAGGCATCACAGTGTTCATTTTATGGTGGGAATTTTCTGCAAAATCAATGTTTGAAATTCATGAAAGAATCATATTAAATCTGATATAATTACCTTATACTGATATGGAAAAGTGATCAAAGGAGCTTATAGCCAATTTCTGAATCTTTACTACTTAATATAATGTTAATAACTAACATTTCTATACATAGTACTTTAAGGTTTGCAAAGAACTTTACAGTCATTATCGGATTTGATTCTTAAAACAATCCTGTGGTGTTGTTGCATAACAAGTTTATAGACTGTTTCTTCATTGTCAGCACTTCTAGGTCCTGTTGAGATGGGTCAAGCCATATTAGGCCTGTATAACAAAAAAGACATCAAGTCCCATTCCAACTGCTGGCCAAGAGCTTGTTTCTCTGCCATTAATTTGAACCCATGAAAGTAAGGATTTTGAGGCCTATTAAGATGGTACTCAGCTTAAATGTCAGTAGTGGCCTATAACTTTATGTTTTCCATTTTGTAGCTGGAAAAACTAATGTTACATCACTTATCTTGGGGCAAATAGTAACCAGATGTTGGTGACATATTTTTAAAAAATAAATCTCCAGTTTCAGATTATTATCTTATTATCTACCTCTTTGTGATTAAAATAAGCATCTCATCCCTTTCTCTTTCTCTACCTCTTCTCCCCACCCAACCCCCTCACAACTCATGTGATACCTCCACCATGTAGCCTGGATCCATGAAGCCAAAACTGTTGTCCTCCTTCTCAAATGTTCCTAGATGGTTCTTTTGTTCCTATCATGCTTATATACTTCCTCTTAGGTTCCTCTATACATGTTATATACTTCCTTTTAGACTATAAGCTCCTTGAGGGCAGGCAAGAACTGCATAATTTTTCATATTTATTTACCCAACTATTTGCACAATGTCTTGTATCCAGTACCTGTTTTACCAATAAATATCTATTGAATTGAAATTAATTATAATTTGAAACTTCTACTTTTATGAATGATGTAAGTATTCCCTTCACTGATGAAGATTAGAATCCACCGGAGACTGAACTCTCCTTGGTGGGACTCTTGTCCATCTCTTCCCACCATTCTGCCTTGTACAAGGAGGGGCTGGCAGTGAGAGAGATGGTGGAAGTAGAATTGACAGAGTCTGGAAACTGATTGAATGTGGAGGGTGAGAGAGAGGGAAGAGTCAAATGTCTTAAGCCCAGGGAACTGGATGGATGGTGGTGCCGTCAGTAGATGTAGGAAAGTTGGAAGGGGTAGTAGCAGGTCTAGTAGGGGAAGATAAATTCCATTTTTAACATAATGAAATTGATGTCCTGGGATAACATATAGGTTGAGAGGTCAAACAGGCAACTTGAGATGCAACACGAGGTAGGGGAAAAGATTGGGGCTGGAGGGAAAGATTTGAAACTTAACTTGTGTAGAGGTGATAATTGAGCCCAAAGGAGAGAATACAGAGAGAGAAGTAACTGGAGATGGAGACGTTGAGAGTCAGAAAGATCATGGTGAACCAGCAAAGAACAAGAAGCCATAGACAGGTACTAGGAGATTTTTTTTCCCTCCTAAGGAGACCTGTAATTCATCTGTGTGGAAGCTCAGAGGGCAGACCTTGCTCTCCCAGTGCAGATCAGCACCTTCTCTGTAACTTATAGTCTTAGATCGTTTCATGGGGCACTGAGAAATGAAGCATCTTGTTAAAGATCACACAGCTAATATCAAAGGCAGCACGTGAAACCTGGTCTTCTTGATCTGAAGACAAGCTCTCTATCCGCTACACCATGCTAGAGGAAATACAAGACAAATATCATTCAAATTATGTAGGAAATTGAGTTTACCTACTACCTGGCTTGTATATGACTAAAGGAAAGTATACTCTTTTTTACTATAGTAACTAAAACTAGAGGCAGCATGGCATAGTGGTTAGAGATCTTGTCTAGGAGTCAGGAAGACCTGGGTTCAAATTCTACCTCTGACACAAAATGGCTATGTGCCCCTGGGCTAGAGACTTAAAATCTGAGTGCCCCATGTAACTGATCTGTGTTCGTACAAGGGATTTCTTCATTTGGAATTTCCTACACTAATGAAATCACAAGTTTAGGGGAAAACACAACACTCCAGAACTACATAAATTAATTTTTATTACTAATCATTAAGTAATCAGATAGTTCAGTGTTAAACTTTATCCAAGAACTAGTAATGGGAGCAATGTAAAACAAATATTTCCCCATTTCCATGACCTTATTCTGTTGACAGATTTAAGAACTGGAATTATTCATGTGTATTTTGTATATTGGAAACTAGATAATTTTGCCATGTTACTCATGATTTCCTAGTAAATAATAATACTTCCAAAATGAGAATATGGCTTTACACAATATTTTCCATCAAACATACTCCATTCCAAGATCATATTTTTCTATAATTGTCTTCTTTGCTTATTGACTCTTTGCTGTCCACTCACTCACTCCCCCATCCATGTTCCTACTTCTCTCCAGCATATCCCTACTTTTCTATCTACCTACCTTCTATCTACCTAACTGTGCCTTCTGCCTGAGTTGTTTTTGCATATAAGTGTGTCTGTGTGCAATAATAATATCACACATTTGGAGAGTGCTTTATATTTTTCAAGGCATGCGTGATCTCACCACTTTTGAAAGTGTGTGATCCAAAGCCAGATATTGCATTCCTGAGGCCAGCCAGGTCCCGCCTAAAATTTCTGGTTTTGAGTTAGAATCATCTGGCCTACGTCTTCTACGGTGGTTCTGTTCCCTGTGGGAGCAGTGCCTGGGAATCTGGACTGATTTCAGGTCATCCTCAGTCCTGAGGGTGGGTTTGGGAAGCTGGGCT